GTCTAGATCCCCATCTAGATTACCATCAAAATTTAGGCAACGTATCTATCCATGCCAGAGCACACCAAACCCACCAAATCAAACTGGCTGGACAGATACTAACAGGAGACACATAGTCCCTAAGTAACCAGGCTTCATTCCTAAACAATTGCAAGTGAAGTAATTATTTCACACTTACAGTAAAATCCAGTCCTATTGTTTCATACTGCCGATGGATTTTCTCTGCAAGGTCATCAAAGAGTCTAACTATGGAAGGCTTTTCCAGAGACATTGCTTTGCTAAGTCCAGAAGAGACAATTGCAGGCCAAGTTTGGACAATACAGTCCCAATCATGAAGATTTGCCAGACATACTCCACTATGATTTCCAAGAAGGCAATACAAGGCACCCTATGGAAAAGAAATTTTAGACAGAATTATTGACATACAGTTGGTATTCTTCTCCAATTGCAGTAGCCTATTATCTCTTTGTTTATAATAATAGTTTGTGAAACATAAAATCAAGTGATTTCTACAATGTTTCTACAGTAGAACCACTGATAAGAGTCTACTCAGGATTGACTACATCCTGATGTCTGCAACTTAAGGGTTTCACATACCATCTTAAAATCAACCCATCAGAAAACCATTTCCAACAATACTATATACAAAGGTTGCAAAAATGCTGTTGAATCTGTCGCAGCTGGGTTTATTTGCCACCCGATTTTTGAATCGTAACCCAATTCAAAAATCGGGTGGATTTTTTGGTCGGAACCCAATTTGATCATAAACAAAAATATTCGCAACCCAAAGTAAAAAATAAACATATAAAATCTAAGTTACTACATTGTTTAGTAATCAAGCATGTCATCCTACTGACTTAATACCTAATATCTAACAACAAAAGCAGATCTATTTTATTGTATTTTAGAACAGGGATTGTCAATACTTGTATGTGCCAGAATTTTCATTAGCTCCAGCAACAGTGTCTGCTACTTCTCTCTCCCAAACAGTATGTTTCTTTTTAACTGCTAAAATCTCACATATTGCCAGTTTTTAAAAGATCAGAATAATCTTGTAAGATCTCACAGATTGTTATGAAGATAATGATGTGTTTCAGGCACAGGGATCAGTTTGTTTGATTTTCAGCAGATTGAGGTTTTTCACCATGATTGTCATTATATGTATTCTGGTTTATGTACTAGTATTATGGTTTAAAATATTGTTAGTCTGCCAGATTCCAGGAGTTAAGATGGATGCCACATGAGTCACATTAGCAAATAACATGATGATAACTGAAAGCCAAAAAAGCTTATTTTGCTTCATAAAGCTGTCCAGGGTTTCAATTGCAAATATGTCAATAAAAATAAATCACCTGATTGCCAAAACTGTACTAAAAGTACTATTAAAATTTAAAAATATTTTTTAAAAACTCATCAGAAGAATTGAGAAGGAAACAAGTCTTAGATATACTAATCTTAATATTTGTTTTTCGTATAATCATCATCCTGTTATTTACATAATATATAACATTCAAAATTGCATTTTAATCAGCTTATTTAAGTTAACATGTCCTGAATCAGCAGAGGTAACATCTCACCAAACAGACAACTGCAGATGTCATTGGAAGGGGAAGCCAATTTATTCTGGAGCTCTAAAAGATGGCAAAAATAGTCTCTATGGCTGGAGATTATATCTGCCCCATCAATGGCACTGACAGAACCTGCTGTAAAGAAAATTAATAAATTCCTCACTTTAAATTGTTGCTGGGTGACACTGTACCCATCTGGCCTCAAAAACTCCAAAACCAAAGGAATGATGTCTCTGCAACAGAAGTTGTAAGTCCCCAAGGCTGTGAAGAATGCTTGTTGAGCTTTGTTCCTGACCTAGGCAAAAACACCATAGCAATGTGTACAAAAGTTAAACAAAGGACAAATAAGCTTTACTTTATATAGTGATTGGTTCTGAACAGTGTTACAATCTAAAAAAGCACCTATGTACTATATATTATTCTGTTGTAAGGCATTGAAACAACTTTTGTGAAATAAGTTAAAAAATTAAAAATCTTGTTCTGCATCTGTTTGTTTGTTTTTACTGATTCTTAGTATTAGAAGGAATACATTCTGCATGGAATTCAATTTTGAGGCAATTTTGTAATTTAGACAAATAATCTGGACAGACCTTAAGAATTTTATTGGCTTGCTTCAGTGAGTAGAAACCCACCATGGATGAGTACAAAATAAATTTTAAAAAATGTGTGTTGTTGGTACAGATTACAGCTGCATTAATTGGTCCACCTAGTTTTCTGAACTATTCAATTCAGTATAGTCTTATCTCCTCAGAGATAAGTGGTGCAGTGTTTAGAATGCAGTATTGCAGACTAACTCTGCCCATAGTATAGAGTTCGATTCTAGCAGGGCTCAAGGAGAACTCAGCCTTCCATCCTTTGGAGGTCAATACAATGAGGACCCAGATTGTTGGGGGCAATGTGCTGACATTGTAAACAGCTCAGAGAGCGCTGTAAAGCACTATGGGGCAGTATATAAGTCTAAGGGCTGTTGCTATTACAGTTAACCCCTCTAGGCACTCACCGAGTGGCAGTTAGAAGTAACTGCTGCAATTAGCTCAAAGTAATTACATGGGCAGGATATCATGAGGCACTATGGCACAACCAAATGCTATTCAGGAAGTTAACAAGGTCTCAAAATAAAGATATACAGGCAGTCCTCAACTTAAAACAATTGAGCCCCAAATTTCTGTTGTTAAATGAAATTTTGTTAAGTGAATTTTTTCCTCACTTTACAACCTTTATCTTGCTACCTTTGTTAAGTGAATCACTGCAGTTAAGTTACTTTGAACAGTCACTAAAAGAACTGTTGTTGTTTATCTGTACAGGATAACATCCCAAAGATTAAATCTGACACAGAAAAGTTCTCAGAAATTCAAATGAACTATGGAATAGCTCTCCATTTCTTGCAAAAAGCTATTTCAAAATTCCTGCCATTAATATTCTGCTTGTATAAAATGAAAGGGGGGCATAGGTCTTACCTGACCATATGAACTTGTAGATAAACGAAGAAGGTCCCTGATCAAGTCCTGATGTACTTTTTTATATTCACAGCCTTCAACAGTGAGTGTTCTTAGCTAAAGAAAAAGGAACAAATTAGATTTTTTTTAAATTTTATAAATGAAAGTTGTAGATACTACAGATTCAAAGGCAGCCCACATACAGTGGTTAAAAAAAACCCATATATTTACCTCATGCTGTAACATGACTCTGTCAATGAGCAGTGCTCTAATATGCTGTTTCTTGCCTTGAAGCTGCAAATAGGCAAATCAATTATTTACATGTGGAAAAATTTTATTCAGTGCTACCTGTGATTTCTTTTTTTAAATTTCATTAACTATGAACATTAATTCCCCCTAGATTCCTTAAAGTCTTAATTGTGTAAATAAATTATTTATAGTAAATACTAACCCTATTCTCCATTGATTTCTTCACCAAGTTAAAACTTTTCCACCGTGAATCAAACTCATGCTTATGTGAACCTTGGAAATGTAAGAGGTCCCCAATGATCTGTAGAACAAAAATTTGAGTTTATATAGAAAAAGCCATCCATCCAAGTTAATGTTTTAGAAATCACACTAGAAATGGCAACTGTACCTTAATGATTAGGAACAAAGACTTAGTATCATCCTCCGAGTTGTCAAGTACAAAGTCTATTACAGTAAAGAAAAAATAATTAAACAAAGCAATATAAATTAATTGTTCATAGTTACAACACTCTTGTCATATTGATGGCAAGCTACCAAGGAACAACAATACAATTGCCTACTGTTTTTAGCAGGAAAAAAATCATCCTTCACTCACCACATTAAAAAAAATCTAGTTCCCCAATCCAAAAAGGAAAGAGACTCTAGAAAGCTCCATCCATTGTCCCACATTCCACCCTGCCAATTGTGACCTGAGATCTATTTAAAAAAAAAACCTACTGAATCTCAAGCCATCACAACAAAACACCCTTCATTCACTTAAACTGAAGAAGAAAGGACTTTGCTTCATATCTGATTTACCATCTGGATTTTTATTGAACTACTGTACAAATTCAGTGAAAATGAGAGAACGGAATAACTAAAAGCACACTTACGTAGGAGTTTCCTTGTCACTTTGCAGATTCTTTCCCTGTAATTCTCTTTCGACAAATCTAAACAAGTAAGATCATTCATTATCTACAAAGTTTATAAATTACAATGTGTAGCAAGGACATGTCAAAGGGGGCAGAAACATAAAAATAAAAAACAAAGGAATAGTTTTTTTCCCCAGCAAAGCTGTGCAAGTTGTGAAAAAGATTTATATGGACTATACACATATATAATTGCATACTTACCAAATGTATGTACCCATAAGGCTTGTATACAACCCAAAACATCCTTGTTTATTTCTGAGATAAATTTGAGGGTTGTGTCCAGTATCTTAGCTTGTTCTTATCTCTTTGTCCAGAGGAATGCTACTCTAGTTCCTCCTTCAAGTCCTAGTATTTTTCCAAATTATCATTATCGTTCCTCCTGATGTTTCAATCGCTGAGCACTATTAGAGCTATCACTACTGCTGTCCTTGCCTATGACTATGAAGTCTGGTTGACTGGCTAGTATCTGCCTGTCTGTTTGGATCAGGAAGCCCCACAGGATTTTAACCTTCTTATTCTCCACAACCTTCTGTGGAATCTTCCATCAGGGTCTAGCCCATATACTTTACATATGTTCCTGTACACAATGCCAGCTACTTGGATGTTCTGTTCAGTATTCTCTTCCTGCCTGCATCTTTCACCTTAGCACTACATGTTCTACTTTCTCTGAGGCCTCTCTGCACAGTCTGCACTTTGGGTCCTGCTTAATATGATAAGACTCCTGCTTCTATGGATCTAGTGCTTAGTGCTCGTTTTTGTGCAGCCATGATAATTGCCACAGTATTGTCTTTTAGGTCAGCCCTTTTCAGTCACTGGTAGTATTTCCCAATGCACGTCACCTCAGCTATCGGTCAGTGGTACACCCTGTGCACAGTATTATCTTGCCATGGCACTTCCTCTGCTTGATTTTTCTCCTATGTTTGCTGCTGCTGCCTCAGGCATTCTCTCAATAGCTTATCTTTAGGTACCATTTTACTGATATACCCCTAGATGCTCAGTGTTTTGTCCAGGGCAGGGGTTTTGATATTCACAGAACCCGGTCCAGCCCCTTCACATTGTAAGGAGCTTCTTCATATTGACAACTTTAATGTCCTTCTTTGGCCAGCTCATATACAGTATATCTTTTCCATATTTAATCTTTAGCTTTTATTGATATTATTGTAATGAATTTGATTGTTTTGTTGTTAACCGTCCAGAGTTATTGAGTCTGGCATACAATATTAAACTCAATGAAATTATTAAATTATTATCATTTTTCTATAAGATTCACAGAAAAAAACATAAAATAAGAAGTTAATAACTTTCTTTCAATAAGAGATCAATGAAGTCATGAATTAAATTTTCTCCAACATTTATGCAATGGCATTAACTTACCATATTCAACACCTGTAAAAAGTTTGATCTCTTCCAATGACACTAGACTTGGAACCCTGCATGATATATAACACATACATATTCTTTAAAGAGAACTCTTGATGCAGTGAATTTAATTTCATAAAACAGCAATTACTGTTACAATTCCTAAAGATTAAGAGTTATAATTTTATATCTTTTAATTTCTATTTTTTCTACGTTTTGAAGGAAAATGAAGACAAAATTTCAATAATAGTGAAGCTATATAACTTCTTGATTACTACTGTACTTAGGATTGCATTTGTATAAGTGCTAAAAGCTAGTGATGTTGTGTGGGCTTTAAAACTATAAGCAGGACTGGACTTGACTAGTATTTGGATGAGAGACCATCTGGGAATTTCAAGGTCACTGGAAAGGATTGAAGAGTTAAAAAAATCATCTAATTTATGATATATTTTTATTATGTACAATATCAGATGGATAATTCTCAATGCATATTTTAAGAAACCTTTCTAAGTGAGGCACAAAACAATCTCTGATGTTTTAATCTAGATGATTCCATTTATCATCTTCAAAAAAAAAACAAATTTTACTTACATGTGAGCCACTTTTTCTCCTTTCAGAGGTGGCAGCATGTTTCCCGATCCAATAAGGCAATTGTGTACTATAGTAAGACACTGCTGAACATCATCTCTGAAAATAAATGTTAAATAGGTGAAATATTTTTCACTATACTAAAAAGCACTCAAAAGAACTTTGAGACCTGACTTCTACAATTTTACTTACATGAAAATCCTATTAAATAGTCATGCTGAATTATTTTATCTGAAGCAAGCCACTATTTCAAAGGCCAAATCATTAAATAGTCACATAATGCATTTGCCAGCAATCTATAATTCAACAATCAAACCTATTTGATGGATCGATTGGACAGGGATAATAAACATCTGTCTGCCTATATTATATGCTATCATCCTGAGCATCGTATATTTTTTTCCTGCTTGAGCAGGGAGTTGGACTAGATGATCTCGAAGGTCCCCTTGCTATTCTGTTAAAACTGACATCTATAAAGATTAAAAAATAATAAAAATTACAATATAAAATTTAAAATATATTATATAAACACTGGGAACATTAGAGAGATATTCCAAAGACATAGGAGGAAACAATAATAAATCCCTGGAATAGCAAGTTTTAATGGCCTTCCTAAAAAGCAACAGAGTGAGAATAATTTGGATTTCCAGGCAAATGCTCTTCAGCAGAAGGGTAGCAATTCAGAGTTTTATTTCCATGATCCCTGTTGATAACATTAGCTGGGAAAAGGGATATGGAGAGACCGTGCACTATCATATCTAACTGGAAAGGCAAAAACAATTGGGAAGAGGCACCCCCATATATACTCAGGTTCTGACTGTATGTTCATTTCTGACCTCATCCAATGACTTCAGTAAATATTAAATTCAAGTGGAGGAAAGACTGAGTCTTGTGGTGTCATAAAATGGAACATAAGACACAATAGCACCCCTAAAGCACCACGGTTGTTAAGTAAATCTAGCTTCCCCTTGACTTTGCTTATCAGAAGGTTGCAAAAGGTGATCACATTGCTTCTGATGCTGCTTTCGTCATAAATATGAGTCAGTTGCCAAGTGTCTGAATTTTGATGATGTGACCATGGGGATTGTTGCAATGGTCATGGGAAAAATAAGTCATTTTTTTTTAGTGCCATTGTAACTTCAAATGGTCACTAAATGAACAGGTGAGGATTAAGGTATTTTTCCAGGTTCTATGTTCCACCACATTCCCAAAAAACTTTCCTCAAAAGGGAAGATGGTTGAGGATTGGCCAATAATTATCCACAATTTCTGGGGCAAGAAGTAGTTTTCTGAAAAGGGGCTATAGCACCATGTATTTCAAGTCAGTAGGGATCAATCTGTGTCTCAAGAATATATATAATAGGACCCTGACTCAAATTCTAGCACCTTCCTGGAAGTTTTCACCAACCAGGAATGGCATGGATCTGCAGCTCAACCTCAAAAAGAATCATGTCCACTTCTTCGAACTCATCCCAGATAACTTTGTAAAACATATTTAGCCATGTCATCAGGTTCAGCAATAGCATAGCATACTGCTTTGCAGTGCTTTACAGCCCTCTCTAAGCAGTTTACAGAGTCAGCCTATAGCTCCCAACAATCTGGGTCCTCATTTTGCCACCTCAGAAGGATGGAAGGCTGAGTCAACCTTGAGCCTGGTGAGATTCAAACTGCCAAATTGCAGGCAGCCGGTAATCAGCAGAAGTAGCTGACTATTGCATTCTAACCACTGCATCACCACAGCTCAATCCTTCAGATGCCTGCAAAAATACTCATAATAACCAAAGAAATATTATTCAACCTCATCTCTTACTGGTTGTAAGTTTCCACTGTAACTTTCAAACAGTCACTGAACAAATAACCTTAATCAAGGATTAACTGAATGAAAACTACACTATCTTATATATTAGCTATTATTTATATTATTAAACATATTCCTATGCAACCACAATCAAAGTGAGTCTCAGCAGCTTATACCAAATATGTGTTTTAACTTCTTCTGTTTACGTTGTTGTGGCTTTATTGTTAGCTACCTATTATTGAGTAGCATCTACGGTATATCAGAAAGTAAACATAAAAACATGAAATAAAGCAAACCTTTCTGACAAAGCGTTTTTGATATAGAGATATTCTAAATAAATAAATAAACTGATATGTAATGTATCCCTGATTCCTATACTAAGTAAATCTCATTAGTTTATTCAGGAATTTAGTTATATTCATTTACTTAAATTTGAAAAAACAATTTAGTCAGTAATGAATCTGTCTAACCTGGACATTTCAAGGCTTCCATCTGAATACCGCTCCAGTTTGTTAATCTCTGGCTGGAGAAAAGTATCCAACAATTCAAAAGAAAAATCAACTTCTTCAGCTGAAGGAACATGCCACTGAATGTCAAGTTTCTGTAGATTACCAGGTTTACCCCAGTCCTGTAAAAATAACACAAGGGTGTACATTTTGCCTTTAGCAAAATTAGAAAATAATTATGTCACAACATTTAACAAGGAATTTTTTCTTATTTCAGTTAAAAGGATCTTAAACACTTGACTTGGTAAGAAATGAATTAAAAGAATATATTCAATTAACAGTAACCTATTCAGGTCACCAGTTTTTTTTAAAAAAGCTAAATTTATGGTTGTTGTTTTAACAAACTACATTTCTTTTTTCCAATTTAATTTAGGTCGCAAATGTTATAGTATTAAAAGCAAAACATGATTTTATAAAATCAAACCATGTTTAAGTAAACCTAGAGAAGTTCCAATGATATAATTATACAAAGGATAGAGTTTCATGACAGAGAGACCCCCTTAAAAAACCCTCTTCAAATTCATTAAGCAAAAGAAGGCACATGAACTCAGATGGAGTGGGTGGAGAATCATGTGTTGAACACACTGGCTGCATTCCGTTCATTGCTTTTGAGGTCAAGACCAGCACTTTCAGTTGTGCTTGGCACCATAATCAGAACAACATAGTTCTTAAGCATGCTACACAAAAGGTAAATAAATAAATAAATAAATAAATAGCAACTATAAAACTTGATAGATGCTATCATGTACTAATTTCAAGGAGTTTATCCAAAATGATATGCAAATAAAAATCTTAAGTTCATATTTTCTAATCTGTTCTTTTTCTTCTGTAAAAACCTCAATTAGAATTTTATCCTGCCTTGGGCAAACTGTTCCAAAAAACAGAATATGTCCGTTTCTTCAGTTGTCAGTATTCTGAGGATTTCTTTACTTTAATCTCATGATACATTCTGTAAAAATTAGCATATTAAATCTTGCATAACAGTTACATTTGGCAAAATCAATTGTTATGATGTATGAATTATTTGGATTTTTAAAATTGTATTTTCTGATGGCATCTACTGAATTCCTACCATTGAAAACAGTTTCTGTCAGTGTACGTTCATCCCTGCCACACCTATAATCAGATTACTACTTGATCATTTGCTACTTTAAGATAGAAATAAATATAAGCAAGGAGGTATGGAAAATATGTTACTTGTTTCCAAGAGATAAAGTGGAACTCAGTTTTCAAGTTCCTTTCTAAGCAGTCTGAAATATCACTACAATTATTCAGTTATATCTTGCTGCTTAGCATTGTCATTATCTGCACATGTAGGGAAATATGGACTTAATTCATGTGGGCCTATGTTGAGATTCTAGGCTGATCCCTCCCCCTTTTAACTCTGTCCTCAGGTTCTGCTACTCCTACCTCTGCAATTATTTTTTTATTACATACTTAATATCATCTTGCTTTTTAGTATTTTATATTTTAAATTATAAAAATATAATATGTATTACACATATCTTTAGCATTGTATTCTTTAATTGCATTTGTGTACCTGTAGCTATACAGCAAGCTGACGAAGGCCATTCAACATGCTACAGAATTAACAGATTTACTATATAGACTAATTTATCTTGTAATATGTTAAAATATCTTTAAAAATAAAATGGAAAAAATACTACCTAGTATATGAAACAAGAAATATCTCAATTTTATTATTTAGTAGAATAGGAAATGTTACATAGACCTAATGATTTCCTGTTACTTTAAGCTAGCCTGCCGTTGTTTAACTACTAACTACTAATATTGTATTAACTACAATATGTTTAACTTTGGTTTTCATGACCCATCCCTTCAAGATGGTATGTGCTAGCATCCAAATAAAAAAAAATACACTGATGATAAAATTGACATTGCATATTTTTAGTCTTGTAGCATCTTTCACTTACACTTTCCATAGTTATTGAGCTGGAAAAGCCTTCAAGGAAATGCAACAGAGTAATTGTTCATTGCTTTTATTTTTTAAAATGCAGTCAAATTCTCTAGTCCTAAGAAAGTTAAAATCCTTGCCTTGATAGGAAAGTATTCAGAAACAGGCTTGTCAAAACCACCTGGCACACTGCAGTATTCTGTGGGGTAGATAAGTGTAGTAGAACGAAGAAGATGGTGCAGTAGGTTACAAGACAGAATGTAACCCTGCTTACAGGTTAAATGGAGGGTTCGTTGCAGAATCTTCAAAAGCTGCTCCCTGTATGGCAGCAACCTCTTCCCATCCACACGAGTGATCTAGCAAAATTCAAAGTATCAGAAATAAACACAACAGAATTTACGTGAATGTATAGTTCAGAAGAGACATTTGATCTATTTTTTGAAATTAGGATAGCTCTGAAAAAGTAACTTTACGACCACTCCTCACACTTACGACTGTTGCAGCCTCCCTGCATTCATGTGATCAGAATTTGGGCATATCAAAACCAGCAGCATTTATGGCCATTGCAACATCCAGGAGGCAGTCCACCATCATTTGCCAGCTTCACAGCTGGCTTGCAACCACAAAGTAAATGGAGAAGCCAGTAGTAAATTAATAAGTCAGGATCACATGATGTTTAACAACAGTAACACTTAGTGACAGAGTTAACAATCCATCTGTGGTTGCTAAATGAGGACTACCAGAACAGCAAACAAGTGACACACATTTCTAAAAGAAACATGTCATTACTGATCGAAGGAAACAAAATGGAAAATAAAAGGCTTTCTATAAAAGCCTGAACACAGAAGTTCTAAATTTTCTCAATATCTTGCAATACTGAAAGCTCTGTTGAATATTAGGAGCTAGGGAGGGAGGGTTAGGAAATCCTAATGCCCAAGGTCAACTTACTAAATCTAATCAACCAAAGAGAAAGAAAAATAAGACAACACCTGAGGAAACCAGTGTAGCTATATAAATAGCCAATAAGTGAGATATATAGCTTAAGTTTGAAGAATGGAAAGGGGTGCATAGCAGAAACAGAGCATCAGGGAACAGCCCATATTAATAAGAATAATGGTGTTTGGAAACTCAAAATATGCTCAATCTGGCACTGAATGCCGAAAATAATGAAAGCTGTTGAATATGTGCAGAACAAGGGAAAGTCAAGGAAGCAGAATCCACCGGTCCCAGAAGACAGCGTGATAATAGGGAAATGGCTGAAGTATTCTAACCGGTCAGATACCAAACTATTGGGGGGGGGGGGGGGGGGGAATCCGAAGAGAAATGACGATCAAAATGAAGAGTGTAAAGAAAATCAGCAAAGATGATGAAGGACTTGAAGGCCGAATCTCATGAAAAACAGTTAAAGAAACTGTGTCTATCCAAATAAGAGAGGGGGATGAGCAGGGGTGGGATTCTACCGGTTCGGACCCTTCCGGGCGAACCAGTAGTTCCGGTGAACATTTGGCCCCACCCACCCTCCCCTGCTCTTTTCTGTGCTTTATTTTGTTGTTTTAGAGCACAGCTGATTTGCACAGCAGTGTGGCTTGCCATGCCTCAGCTGTTTTATTCACAGGGGCTGCCGTAGAAGGTAAATATTAGAGCTGAAAATGGGCTTTTTTAAACGCAGAGCGTGTGCTTAAAAAACACCGGTTGAATCACACCACTGGAGATGAAAATACTCTTCCAATACTTGGACTATTTTCAGGGAAGAGGATATGGATTTATTTTCCATAACTCCTAAATGCAGGACAAAAATGAAAAATAGACTTTAGGAAAATGGAAATAGAAAGAGGAATTACCTCAATGCTAGAGCTATTAAGCAGTGGCATAGTATGTCTGTTAAAGTCATGGGTACTTTATCATTGGAGATTTTCAAGCAAAGATTGGACATTTGTCTTGGATGATATCAGGATTCATGTCCTGGAAAGGATTGGACTTGAAGAACTTTAAGCTCCATTCCAACACTATGTTTCTATGAATTAATTCCCAAGTAGGGAATAATTGAAAACAGCACTACTATTTTTCACTAATAGTTTTAGAATTTCAAGCTATTATATTTCCTCTCTCAAATCAGATTTAAAACTCACTGTTCTTCTCTATAGGAGCTTTGTAGGTAATATAATGATTCAATCTAGTATACACATTTAGTTAAGTAGTTTGGGCCTTAAGTATGTTTCTCATAAGGAAATTCTGTTTGTTATTTCATAAACATGAACCAAATATATTGAAAATTTAAGCTAGAATTTCTTATAAATACCTCTGATAAAAGTTGAAGATTCCAGAGGAGTTCTTTATCTAACTCTTCATCATGTAATACATCATCATCTAAATATGAAATACATTATACCTCAATGTTACTATGATGCATGTGTAGGTAATAACATATTCACAGTTCTGAAGATTCTTGTTTAGGTTAGTCATGATACAAGGTTTGCTATGATATGTTTTTATGATTCTACTAGAAAATGCAAAAATAATAGAAATATATAAAGACACATGTTCATATGATTCTTCTGTTATAGGATGACAAATATGTAAAATACCTGTTTTAATTGTTTCTTATACCGACAGCATATCTACATTATTTACACTCATTTTCTGGAAAAAAAATTAAATTGTTACCTCCACAAAGTAGTCTTACTTTGTTGTCTTACATAATTGGCAGCCTGATAATTCTTTGAGAAGTTTCAATCATGTCATCATTCAGAAGATACGTTACAGTGTTTTCCTTCCCAAATTAGCATATTCCCAAAAAACAAGTTAAATATTCTTCAGTACCTAAGCCTCCTTGTCTACCTTCAATTGTTTCCAATTTTGATTTCTGAGAAATATTATTATTTAAGCAAAGGACATACAAGGAGCTTAGGTGAGAAACATGATTGCTTATACAAGTTTGCAGATATCTTTGTGCCATTCACACAAACAGATTAGCCTTTCAAATTCATATGTGAAGTGAACATTTTGCAATTGTTATAAGTAATAAGCATGTGAATAGCTTATTATTGTATAGTGCACATTATCTTCCCAATAATGTATATAGATATATTTCAGTCCCTTGGATGGATCTTAGGATGTCTCCTGTTCTTTTCCAACATGTGTCATGACAGAGAAGAAAATTTTAAATCTGAAAATAATGGCTATTTTACCCATTAATTTCTTGCAGTAAATGATTCCAATTGTGAAGAAAAAGTAAACTGTTTAAGGCAAAAACAGTACAACAGCCAGGGTTCCCTCATATAAATACACTGCTTCAAGTGTCTACTAAAGGAAACCTATCTATGATTGCCGCAAAATCAGCATTCAGCACTTAAACATAATCTCTAACATTCTGTTGAATATTAGAGACATAGATGCACTTTGTGCCTTCAGTTAGTGTACCTTGTCTGTTCTACTGATGTATTACATTAATGTAATATAGCGGTGAAAATTGGATTAGGGAGACTGAATCATTGAATTAATAATCGAATGATCCTATGCCATGATCTTCTCTTATCCTAACCCATAAAAGTTATTATGGTATAGTAGGTAGCATGGTGAAATAGGACCAGGTTCAAATACATATTGAGTAATGGAAGTTGATAGTTTCCAACTAGTCTCCATCTCTTGAGAATAAAATTACTGTATAGTATGTATGTATGTATGTATGTATGTATGTATGTATGTATGTATGTA